GTACACCCACAGATGCACGCCCACCCCTCCCCACAGGAGACATCTATCTATGTGTAGCTATATATCCCATTCAACACCCCAAAGAAAGAGACAGAGCAAGAGAGTGAGCTTTTCTTTGTTAAAGCCAAGGGGCAAACTGTCTGAATCTGTTAAGGATGAAAGGAAGATAGTTAGCAGGACAACTAAATCTCAAAGGTATTTCTAAAAAAGGTTGAGGGGTCATTAAGGCACTGGAAAAATATAAGGTTATTTCCTTGGCAGGCCATCTAAGTATTTTTACTCATTTCTTTTAAGTGACTGCTCTGAACAGGGCACAACTTTCTCTGTTCTTCAGCCAGCTGCACTACAAGGGAGTATTGCTGTATTTTGGGGCTGAAGTGAAACCTCACCTTGTGACCAAGGCTGAAGCCTCAGCAGCATCTGGCCTTTAGCAGAAGGTGAGATCATGCCCACATCTCCACCTTGCTTTGTCTGTTCCATACCTTCCTCCTGCCTGACACCTCATAAAACCAGCATGATGCTTAGGATGCGGCTGAAAAGAGAACGGCTATTCTGCAGGCTGTCTGCTTTCTTGCTGACTCAGCCAACTGGGTGCTCAGCTAATTTCTGCGCCGATACAGAAGCTTCCTCACAGTGCAGGCGAGAAAATATTTTTAATTGATTAGAGCCTCCCAGAAAGCCAAAGCTAATTTGTCAGTTCTCAGATGAGCTGTTCTATAAATCTTGTTCTCTGGATGTAGGGATAAATCGGAGTTAGGCTGTGATGGCTCTCTGTCACTCCTATTCAGCTGCATCAGTCACACACAGATAAACTTTTCTGGGGGAAGAACAACTCCCTCCTCTGCATGAGTGTGCTGCAGTTGTGAGTGAAGCCAAATGTCATTGATTTAAAAGGAAAGCAAAGCTGAAAGGGTCAGCGACCTCTGTCTCTGAAAGTCTGGAGTCCAGTTTCAAGGCATGAGACAAAGTTGAAAGACTGAAATAGTCTGACTTCAAAGGGGAAAAAATGAGTATCATGAACTTTGAACACACTTTGAATTATCACATGATATACTCTGTTTTGGTGAAGAATAACTTAATTTGACATTATGCTTAACTTTAGAGAGACACTGACAGGTAAGGACAGGCAAAAAGAAAACTATGGACCTCCAGGGGAAAGACTGGTTGGGACAGACTGGAATCCTTGACTTGACTATACAAAATACAGCAATGTGAATTGGGCCACACAGTATAATTAGAGGATGTAAAGAAGAGAGATAAAACTTTAACATTTTAAGAGGATGTGATGTTGAAGGCAACAAAGGTGTAAAAGCTGAAGAAAACCTGAAGAAATGAAAGTCTGGGATAGATACTTTTTCTTTACACAAAACCTGAATGGAATGAGTGACTCAGTTTCTTTTAAATGATAAAGATAAGGAGAGAAAGGAGGTTAACTATCTAGAAGAACAAATTAAAATTACTTTAAACATTTGTTAAAAAAAACCCAAAATATAGCCCAAACATTTTCTTTGCGTGCAAATATGCTCTCAGATGCTTAATCTTATTGTAATTAATGTTTTCCAATATGCAGCAGGGTGCCAAATGATCAGAACAGGCATCAACAGTGTTTACAGACCAAACAGTGGTTACACCACAAATGTATTTCAATTATAATTATAATAATAAAAATAAAAGATACTTATCCAGAATCTACTTTCAGTATATTTTTCTTATATCAAAATTATTTTACCCTTCCCAACATCCATGTGCAACATACACATGCATGACAACAGAGTGCACAACAGCTGAGAACAGATAAAGAAAAGGGATTGTGGAAACCTTTGTGCAGATTTTAAAACCCTTTGGATTAGGCCCTTTAACAGTAACTGTGCTATGTGACATGGGCATTTGCCTTTGGAACCTCGGGCTGGGTCAAGTAATTGCATCTGGGAAATACAGTTTCTGTTTCTTCCCAGGTCTTTTGTGGTCACATTTTTGGAAGATCAATTTTGACAGTACTCATTTAAATGTATCTGTACTTCATAGTAAAAGAGGGATGAAAATGACCCACAGAAATCTCAGGAGGAATGTATGAATTCAATCATAGTGAGAAATGTGAATTAGACTCTTTCTGTTACGTACTTACAGGGATGTAATCTTGCCGGCACTCAGGAATACATTTTATGTCTTTCTCAGTACATTCCATAGTCTTGTACTTTTCTCTACATTTTTTAGGATGATAGAGCCATGAAGAGTAGGAATATACTTAGAAAAAAAATCTAAGATTATCTGTTCCCATAACCCCGAGACCCATGATTTTAAGAACAGCACCAAATATCACAAATCTTGTGGTGAAGTAGAAGAGATGTCCACATCCAGTGACACAGACAGCACCATCCTGTGAGGCCATATGTTATGTTCCATGTACTCACCACCTTTCTTTTGATAGAAGTAAGTGTGTGGAGAACATATTTAACCAACATTTCCCAATAATACTGACTGGCAGCAGCAACCTTATGACAAGCAGTGATCATCCCACACTGCTTTATTTAAGGGATTTCCCAAACTATTTTACCTATGAATTAGTTTCTTAGTGTCTGGACAGCACATGTAACAAAATAGCAGCAGTTTGAGAGATTCTAGAGTGGGACTGAAAATCGGGGTCATTTACAATAGTGGCTGAAGTGAACAGAGTAAGAATTCACGTGTATAAAATATGTTAGTGACATATTAATTACATCTGACATTAGTCCCCTGTGCATGTGTACTCATTACCTTCTTACAGATAACAACTTCTCTCATCATAAATACTGGCCTTTTAGTAACACAGTATGTCACCATCTACTCTCTCATCCTTTATCAAGCAGTACATTTTCATATGATTTTTATGCACACATTTCTTACAATGACAACTGGCATCAAGATAAAGGCAGATGTCTCAAAATAATACAGTCACTAAATGCAACTGAGTGTGGACTGAAAAAGTCTTTACCTCATGGTGAAACAGCAAGCTGGACCTTCACCTTCTATTTAAAAGGATGTACATTGTACATATTGCCTCAAGACTCAACAGATTTAACAGAGAGAATGACAAAAGATATCCCTCTAACTTGTCTTTCACATCTAGTTCTTCATGTATTAGGTTTGAATCGCTTGAGAGAACTTCAAGCTCTATTTTATACTCAACAAATCCATTTAGTGTATATGTCAATATCCCCTAAATAACATAACTTTAATTTGCTGGGGTACTGAATGTAACCCTTGCATTACGACTACTACAAACAGTCTAAGCCCAGCAAAGAAGCAAACAGAAAGAGCTTGCCAAAATGGATCTTGTATATAGCAAGTAAGAAACCTGGACTGGCCTGGGCTGGGAGCGAGGCAGGAAGAACAGGGCATTGCGCGAGCTCTGTGTGCCCAAAGCTCTAACTGAAGGAGAAGTTATAAACTTTCAAATTCTTTCTTCACTGTGCAATCACAGTTATCTAAATCAGCAAATGTGCAGTCAGCAAGGTGTACAATCCCTGTAAGACTTGCCAGTAACCTCAAAGCTTCCCTAAACTGGAACACTAAAAGTGGGAAACAAAGTTACACCATCTCTAATACTGCTATACTGACCCATCTTTCTTTAGGTCACTGGTTGGGAAAGTCCAATTTACAGAATGACAAGTACTTCAAATTCACACCTCTTATTCTTTTAAAAAACTTTTCCTTATTATACCAATGTTAACTACTACAAACGTTACTACTATGGCATAGAAATTCTGTTTATAAACACTTGTCTTTCAATAGTGTACTCATGGTAATCAAATAGGAATCAGCTACTCTCTTGTAATACAATACCCATCTATTATAGACCAATGAGATATACCAATCTCAAATGTGCGAAAAAGTAGGTAAATAAATACATTTTCTTCCACGTCTCCTCCTGGAGAGCTGTTCCAGACCCTCACTCTTCATGTTGGCAATGTGAACAATTCACCTCTTTTCACTTTGATTCATAAAAGACAGGCCCATCATTTTTTTGAGTTTATTAATAGCCCTGTGGGGTGAATTTTCCCAGTTTCTGTTCCTGTTAGTGAACACGTGTGTGAAGAATTGCACTCAGTCATCCAGATAACGTCTTACAAGTGTCTTGTGTATGACACTGGGAATTCCTTATCTCTACAGGCAATGCCAGAGGATTTTTTTTGCCTCATTTTTATAGATGCATCAGGCAGGTGGTTTTTAATAATCCTGTGATCACCCAATAAAGCTCCATTGTGCCACCCTCCCTCAGCAATTATTGCTACTGATTATCGATGACAGTCTGCACTACTGCATTTCATCCCATTTCTGTTTTTCCAGTCTTCATTATCACTAGATTTTTCCTGTTTGATATTCTGAGCCTACTCCATCATGGTAATGATCTGCCACCTTCAAGTCACTGGTACAGTTCTACATTTGTGGTTGGAGTCATTATTGACAGCATTAGCAAACGAATCCATAAGGAATTCTGTAAATCTCTTTCACTCCAGTTTCTTGCCTTTACTGCCGTATTTCCGCATTCTTTGAGAAAAGTGATATAAAACTATTACTTATAACTTCATGAACAACAGTGTATCTTGCATCTGCAGAAATTTATACAGGGTAGTGCAAAAGGTGCATATTTTTGTCAGACTGCCACAGACCCCTGCTGAATGATATGGATCAACAGGAAAGATTAAATATCTTCAGCAGCTTATAAAGAGTGCAACTAATATAAATGCTTTCATATTAGAAGCCAATCCAAATCAAACAAATAACTGCCAGAAACTATGCAACCTTTAGCCATATAAATCCATATCCATCCAGCTATATTGGTAACATGCAGGCAAATTTTAGGCAGTTATTTAAATTTTTTCTATTAAAATACTCAGTTTAAATATTCATTATTGCCTTGAAAGGTTCATGTTTCATCCTATAATGATATACCAGCAAACACATTAAAAAATATCACAAGAAGAGGACTCCTCTCAGACTTTCAATATCCTCCTACTAACCTTAGGTGGTTTAAAAGGATAGTCCGGTGAAAAGGTAATGTCAAGGAAGAAAACTCCACCTTCATATACTGACCCTGGAGGCCCCAGTATAGTTGACCTCCATTCATAAATGTTGTCTCCTTTGGGTCCAGCACTAAAATAGAAAACAAAAATATAACATAATAACCACATACAATCAAGAATATACTGCATCAGTTATACTCCACTAGTAGTACCACTCGTTTTGCAATAACACTACAAGTTAAAATTGTGTAACACATGTGTGAAGTTAGTCTTGGATAAAACATGTAACTGGTGTCCTAAGCTCTGTCAGTGAAGTGATATATTCAGCCAGGAAGAAGTATTAAAATCACATTATAAATTATTCAAATAAGCACAGAAAAATTCCCAACTGTCTTATCTCAAATATTTTAGTGGACAGATATGAAGTACTTACAGTGTGAGGATACAGAGACTTTGCCACAATGTCTTGTCACTGTCTTGCCTCACAAGCCATCCTATTTTCACCTACCTCCTCATCCACCTACCTCATCAGTCAATAGCAGCGTAATTACACACATTAGTATACAGCACAGTCTGTACTAAAGGCTGACCAGGGCACAAATGACCTTGCAGCTGCACTTTCTAAGTTACAAATCTAAGGACTCCAGTCACTAGTGCACAAGTCTTCCTTACTCCACATTTCTTATGCTACCTTGAAAAAAATTATAAGCAGAAAACTGCTGGATTATGTTATTTCAAAGTCCTCATTTAAAAGTGCAGTACTGAAACAATATTTTAAATATACAAAACATAATCCTCTGTGTGAAACAAGAAAAATCTCTCACCAAAATGGTCAATTCCTGAAAAAAATAGCCAACACAGCCTACTTTTATACAACATAATGCTCATCCATAGAAATACTTATTTTACCTGGGTGGTCTCTTAAGGAATATGAAGGCTTCTTTTTGGGTCACGGCTGGCTAACACTGGTCACTGATACAGGTTCTGAATTTTAATTAGGGTCAGTTGGGATGGTAAGTCCTAGATATCTGATTAGTATTTTCCAGAGGAAGGCAGTGCTGGTAGATATTTCAAATAAGTGATGTGGTATTGTCTTAAGGCATTTCTTGTGAAACAATTTTTGTTATGTTTGCAATAAAGATTTCCACAGCATGCAGGGGTTTGTGAAATAACCCTATGTGTATAACAGATTAAAGCTCTTGGCTATGCTCCACGCCTCACAATGTACCCAAGGCATACAATTATTATACGACACCATGTCATGTTCACTGCTCAACTATTCATTTTGTTCACTGAAAGTAAATAAACCTCTCTTTCACCTGATATTCCTTGGGCTCCCTTCATTAAAACTTCTGACTGCATGATTCCCTGAATACAACTGCGTGACTTGGTACCGCGCAGTGTACTTCATTAGTTATGGTACCTACGTCAATTTTCTATAATAGCTGTTGATGCTTCTTGGCTTTCTAAGTGACGTGCTTTCTTAACAAAAATGGGCTATGGAGACTATAACATTATGGAACATTCATTTTCTAACAGCCTTAGTAACAAAACTAGCGATTGTTTTAGAGATGAAATCTGGCTTTTTAAGTGTCACAATAGCAGAAGTGTTGCCATCCATATTTCCCAGTGTCTACAATACATCAGGTTGCTAGCTGCCAAACAAATTTAATTTACCCAGTTCTCAGTTTGCATTAACCTTTGAATAATAAAGCACAGCTGAGACTGCTGTAAGAAACAAACCAGAGAATGAATAATTAAAAACACCTCCACTGCCTTTAGAAAGACCAATCCCGAGCCAACAGGGAAGGTTTAATTGTGACTGAACCAGGCATTAAGGGGCTAATTGAACTCTTTATAAGCTCAAACGAATGTGGGACTACATCAGTGCTATAGTATACAAGGTTCATAGAAAGCAAAACCCTTTAAAAAAAATATCACGCAATTAGTTCAAATAGCAAAGACAAGAAGCAGAAGCAGTCTAAATCTTACATGAAAGAAAAGCCCATAATATGGGAAGGAAATCCTTTTCCATTTTTTGCAGAAAAAAAAAGTACAATACTCGGAGAAGCAATGACTCAGTTGATGCCAGCAGGTTAAAATGGAAGTGATATAAATGTAAATTCCAGAGAAATTGTTGGAAGCAACAAGTAACAAAAGCCAGCCCTGTCTTTTTTAGACCTTATTTAGTCAGGATGGGATGGCTGGGTCCTTTTTGAGTTTGAGTGAAACTCGCTTTTTTGATCAGAATTCTCTCTGATAGTGGCATTTTCATACTGTATATTATTTTTATTTGTTTTGACTATTTATTTAATTGCATTAACATCTGAAATGAACAGTCATTAATTAGAATAGTCAGAAAATGCTCCATCTGCCAGTTGAACTGTTTCGGCATGTCCAGCTACAAGCTCAGCCTGATCACATTCTGAGGAAGCTGATTAACATTAATTGAAGGTTTTCTTTGCAAACGAGAGATGAAGCTTTAGTAAGTATTATTATTAATTTGAAGAATAGCTTGAATTGTATGGCACGTGGGAAGACATTGCCTGTTAGAGTGCTTGCTGGCAGCAAGGCTGTACAGCCCATGTAAAATACTGATCCGTGTGCACAGGCAACAGCTGGCATTAAGGGCAACAGCATGCACAAAAATAACTTTTTTCTCACTTGCACATCAATAATACAAAAAGTTTGACAGGTGTATTATCTTTGTTTTCCTTCCTTCCTAATTGTTAAGCCTTTTATTTATCCACATTATTGGCAACCAGAATGACGACTCATCAGGCTTCACCAGAGAAAATTCCCCTATGTGCAAGACCTCAGCCAGAGCCTTATTCTATAAGGTTTATAATGCAAAAGGATTTAATTGCCCTTTTCTCTACATGGATATCTGCCCAGCACACTGAAGCCCAAGTGTTTTACATTCAGTATGGTTTATATTCCAGCTCTATTAATGTTACTGGCGACCAAACCACAGATCTCAAAGAAAGCAAACCAAATATCTCAGTGCCTGAAGTTCTGTTATCTTTGGAAGGAGATGTTCAGATGCGCACCCGCTTGGCAAAGGGTGGACTAAATCTGTCTTGAACTCAACTGATCCAGGGCCAGAGCATACGCATGCTGCCTGCTGCTAACCCGCTGCTAAATGAGCTTCAGGGGACAAATAACGGTGGCTGTGGCAGCTCCAGGTGGAAGTGGCTGAACTATCAGGGTAAGGTGGTTAGTAGAAGGAGGGCTCTGCTGTCAGACCAGCAGCACAGCCTCCCAGTTTGAGCCCTGATGCTGAAACCCTAGTGAACCTGCAAGGATGAGCGAAAGGAGTCCAGCAAGAAACACGTGATGTGACACTGGAGCCGGTACTCCCCAGCATTATCTCCCAGGTGGAGTTTATAACATAGGAGATGCAGCTGAGCAGGAAGGCCCTGGAGTTGAAGTTATCAATGGCTTGCCGAGCGCTAGCTCTCTGCTGTCATTATTCCCCTACAGCTGATGGGATGCTCCACAGAATACTGTATTTAACCTCCTGGGGAGCCTTTGCTCACTGGAAGAGCTGGGGTGGGTGGACATGGAGTCAGCCTTCTTCCTCTTCCAGAATGACATCGGTATGGGTGTATGAAACTCAGGACACAGGAGTTAAAACACATACAATGGTCTCCTTTTTATTTCACTCTCATATTTGTTAGTTCTGCCACTGCTTCCCACGTACAGACTTGCAGGTGAAATGTATGCACAGCAGTTACAGTTGGTAGCAAAATACCTTAAATGCTACTATAATATGTGAGTGGGAAGCAATCAGGCCAAATAGAACAGGAGAGCAGGATGGTTGGGAGGCCTTCCCCTTCCTCAAGACTCAGAATGAAATGGGAAGATTCTATGGACTACGTGCATTTACGGTCATTTTTATCCTCATCCTTTATAATGGCGATAGACCAGGATATTATACTGATTTTGTCCATGAACTCACTTTTCATGTCATTGTCTATGGCAATTCATTATTATTATTGCATTATCTAATCCGAAATGCCTTAGCACACAGAAACACACATTGGCACTGGGGTTCCCCTGCCTTATGTGCAGTCCATGGAGGATGCAGTCCCTCTCAACTACCGTCGGTAACATATGATGGCAGAAAGAAGCAGGATGCACTCAAGACTATTCCTCTTCCTTTTCTTCTATTACATGGAGCCTTGACGTGACTGTTTAAGAGATCTCCCTCTGAGGAGAGAAGCTCACCACGGAATATCTCAATTTATAAGTATTACGACATAGTTTCTTGCAATCTCATTTCTTGCACATCTAACATTTACACCGGAGCAGATCCTGCCTGTAGTTGCCCTCCATGAATGCTTCTGGGAAGCCACCTGCCCAGAGGGCAAAATGCAAACGAAAGTACTGGAAGATTAGCAAAGTAATTTAAGAGCACAGCTGGATGTGACAAAACAGAAGACTGCAGATTCAGCTTTCAGTGAGATATATCTCTTGAGAAGGTCAGACGAAGCCTCATTGAAATAAACCCAGTACATACCTGTGCTCTCTTTTCTGAACATGGTACCAATACTGAAACTGGTCCTAAGCAAAAGTGTTGCTTTGGTCTGTACCAGAACTCAAGGCTGTCCTGGTGCTCGGGGACAGCCACAAGACCAGCAGTGAAGATGTGCTGGCAAAGTGGTTGCTGGATAATCTCAATCTGGAAAGAAGTAAATCAGCAGGAGCTATGCCGATGCTAACATCCTTAGGTGACTCAGGCCTACCTGCGCACCCAGACCAGTCCTGTTCAACAAAATGTAAAAACAGTGCCACTGAGAAGTGCTGGCATCACAGCCCTGTGAGCCACTGCCGTGTGTTTTTGGCATGGATACAGGCAGTGCCATTAGCACCAGTTATCTATTGAATTTCTTCTGCTTTTCTCCCAGTTCTCTCTCCTCTCCATTCTGGAAGCCCACCTGATCTGCCACCACCTCTTAACTCTTCGCCCCTTCTCTTCCCTTGTTGCTGACAATTCTTCATAGCACCTGTATTTTCTATTTTCTGCTTGAGGGAGTTGTCTCTCCCACACCCTCTCTGTATGGTGATAATTCATTGCTCCTTCCCCATGGTGGAACCTTCCTCCCTTCAGGTACACACAGCTCCCCT